CATTTATCGCTTTTTCTAAAGTCAGTTCACCATCTCTCAACAGCCGTGCTCTGACCTTATCACTATTTATACCCAATACGATCTTATCTCTGACAAAATCGTCCTTTAGTTCACCGTAGGCACACGTAGACACGAGAGTGTTAATTTGTGATAAGAAATTATCGAAACTCTCACCTTCTGATTGCGTATACCTGTGAAACTTGTAACGTTCATAAGTAACATTTGTTTTCGGCGTGCAGAACCTCTGGAATTTCTCCAGAATTAATTCCGGATCCAGTTTGTCCTCTGCTGGTACATGTTCCTCCCCTTCGGGGTCACCTACAGCTGGAGCCCAAGTGAAGCCATTGTAGATTTTCAGCGCCTCCTCACCTGCGAGATTTAGCAGTATAGCACTTCTCCTTTCCTTACTGGCAGTAGATAATCCAATGGCGTTCACATATAATTCGTACTGCTTCTTGAACAACTTGAAATTCTCACTTGCATTTCCCGATAGACAAAGAGCTTTCGGTGGTGGAAGATTCGTAGCCATATTTCCGCGTAATTCCTGATCACTGATCGCTAAATATCCGTTCTGGACACAGTTTATATCTTCTTGTCCACCTCTGACACCATGTGGTGTTCGGATGGCACGAGAAACGGAGATATATTCTTGGATTTCAACACAGAACTTTTAATATTTTCTAACATGTGTCGTCGCCATTACCGGAAGTGATCATACATCGAATCATGAACGGAAGCGAGGCTGAATTAATGTAAACGTAAATCGAATACAGCACAATTCCAGTTGCTGGATTCTGGATTCTACCTAAGCAGATTCTGGATTCCAAAACACAAAACATTCCAGATTTTAGTTTCTGGTTTGCTCCTAATTTCTGCATTGCGATTTCTAGGAATGACTTCAATGGCGGATTTCATAATTGAATGACATGTTTTTCTATTTATATTCCCACAACAACATTTGATAATTACAAGAAATATATTACAGCAAATTGAGGGATAAAGTTTTGTTCTAAGAATACCTATTGAGACTGTCCATCTCTTAAGTCCAATGTCTATTCATTCCACATCTTTTTAGCAACTCTGAAGAGGTGTACCATATTTCTTTCATTCAGGTTCCTCAAGGTTCTTCAAGTGATTTAGCAGTATCAAAAGAACTAATAGTTCAAATCATTGCTTATCATTTTTCATTTGTAAATAACTATTGGACTAAAAAGTTGTTTTAGCACAGCATAACATTGGTCCGACTGAGAAAAGGTGGCCAATTTTTGTAATCCAAAATTTACTTCATGGAGAACTGTCGACAAAACAGCTTGAAAATATTTCCCAATCATCTCAAAGTACTTTTTTAACTTTCCTTTTAAACAAAAACCATAGTATTAAATTGCCAAAAAATTTAAACTAAAATATAATTTTGATAACACCCTGTGTATCTTGTAAATAAATCGCAGACTATGACTAAGAAAAGTTTGTTTTCCTACATGTTTTTGACAAAGATGTTCGCCATTACGAGCTTGTGCATATAATGGTGTTCAACCAACTCAACTTTACTTAACCCTTTGCAAAATTGCACACAGTAATTTACTACACAGTAATTTTCCAAGAATAACAGATTCTCTTTTCTACATTTCCTATTTTCTTTATAAGGTTTGCCAAGTCAAGTCATATTAAGTTGGCTATGAATTCTCCAGGGCAATATTTCCAAAGGTCTAAGGTGGCCTGCTGATATTTTCCTGTTTGGCCCTTAAATCTGGTAATATCTTATTTTATTTGCACTGAGATATGATGCCCTATGAAATCTTAAATTTTTTTATTCCGAATGCCAATATCAAAGAAAGCAGTTTATGTTTAAATGCCATAATTTTGACTTAGATATAGACCTCCCCCAGTCCATAAATATTCATATATATATATATATATATATATATATTGTAAATGGAAACATGTGGTCTGTTGCCATGTTAGACTCTGAGCAAATCCTGTGGGATTTGAACACTGTTTTTATGTAAACAATCTCTGTAGTCCCTCTAAATTTACATTGAGTGAACTGCACTATACTGTGGTTGCATCGGTCATGATAAAACGCAGACTGCAGACCATGCAGACTGTGCAGACCAGGCAGGCTGTGCAACAAAATCTTATGAGGTTCTTTCGAGTTTACGTTATCTGGCAAAAAAAATCGTGGGGTCAAGTTTCTCGAGCTTGTGCAGATTAGCCCCACATGGCAAGATGTAATTTGTATGGACCGTGACACTGATTTAGAGGTGAGGAATGTGCTGTGTGAACGAAGCAAATGATAACCAGGATCTTCACAAGACAGCCCAAAGAACTTTACAGTAAAGAAATTTCTGTAAGCTAAAATCGAACTTTACAAGGAAGGTTTTTGAATCGGAGTAGAAGACTGATTGGTAGTTACTGAGTAGGGAACTTTGGCCATGTCAGTATCGAAGTCGATTGGGTGATAGGTAATGAATGAATTTGTCAGTGTCTCGCGAGCTGTAGCAGTCGAAATTCTCTAGAGAAAAAAGCGCGGTCCACATGGTCTGCACGGTTTATGTTGTCTGCACGGTCTGCAGTCTGCGTTTTAGCATGACCGTGGTTGCCTGGATGCGCGTGAAAGCCGTTTATGCGATTTGAAATAAATTTTCAGCGAATAGATTCTGGATTCATTCTTTAGTGGGATTCTGGATTCCAATGTCCACTATTCCAGATTCCACAAGCAAAAATTTTCTGGATTCCGGAATCCTGATTACCTTACATGGGGCGAAACATTACTATGAACAAACGCCTGCAACAGAGCTTGCTTTCATGCAACTGGCCGAGGTGTTTTGATCATACATCTCGCTCTGTACAGCGTATGGATGGAACTATCCCTTAAGTTTAGGAATTCAGCTCATAAACACTTTGATAGTTACTTTCCTAGATAAGTTTGACTTACCTGCGCGAAATAAACACGGAATAAATCCCCCAGGGAGTTGAGAACACGCAAACTGTAGCTGACTTAACAAATATAATGGAAGGCGACGCTAGAGTCCAGTCTGCTCTCGACTTACTATAAGCCCGTGTGGAGTAAGCAACGCGAATAGGGGAAAAGGGTGACTCTTGAAGATTAAAAAATATAAATATGTATATATATATATATTTATCGAACCGTTTTTTTTAATTCACCCAGATGTTCTCCAACAGTGTCTGTTTCGAAAACTACAATAAAAAAAAAAATTAAAAATAGGTCAGCAAGCCTGCGTTATGCTGGGCCAATCTTAACCTTTTATCGCTGTACTGGTGCTAATCTCTCACGTTATAATTCATCGGTTCACGGTACATTTTGTGGTAGCTGGAAGCTGAGGTTTTAAAATAACACCTGAAAAAAATACTTGATAGGTAGAAAGTCTCGAGTGTATGGAACAATGTAATATATAATTTGTGGAAAAATCGCGCAGTTTTAAACTACATTGACTTAGAACGTTCCTCGAATCGTACGGTGATGATTGCATCCTCGAGCAACAAGCTTCGTGTACATTTTTAGTTGTATCTTTTTTCCTCCAATAATTTGTTTAATTTCTCTGATTTAAAGGGAATAATTTGTCCATCAAAATTATGCAATAAAAAGAATAGGTTGCCGTACTCGTTCACGAGCAAAAGACCATCGTACCTATTTACCTCGTCCATTGATTGGAAAACAATACCATGTCTCAGAATGCCCGCTTATTTTCTTTGTCTTCCTTTTTCCACGGTTCGTGTATGTCACATCTACTTGTTACTTCATGGTCAGCGTTTTTACTTTCCAGCGGGAGTTTTGAATAGCGGTTCACGCAGGCCATTACGGGAGAGACGGAGAAACGCGTGTCTTGCAGCGCTGAAAATGAAGGTCCACTCATATCTAAGATTTGAGTCTGATATTTAAAGGCATGAATTTTATTAGCGATGGATTTTATCGAAAGGAAAGATAACTGAAGCAATAAATAAAAAAGTCTTTAAAAAACATACAAGTCAGTGAGTAACCCAAAACATCAAATACGACAAAAATTATTTGCTGAGACTATTTTTGTCCTCGAAATGTTAGGGCACCCTCGAACGTTGTCATAACATTGATAAAGATCTAGTTGTTTGGCGAGATTATACCTGGATCATCCCTTTCAACTTTTTTGATAAAAAATTTCAAGTGCCACAGCGATTGTTTTGATAAAACTAATAGGGTTTTGGAGTTAATGAATTTAAGTATTGTGTCACGACTGACATCCTTTCGCACAAAAATAAACTGAATTTGGGGCGTTTTCTTTTTCAGTACGAATCCTCAGCTTTGCTTTTTATCCTGGGTCTTATTACGTCTCTTTCAGTCTGATTATCGTTCAATGCATTTTAGGAATCTGGTGCTGATACTTCAAAACAGGTTGAATCTTTCAAGTTCTTGATTTCATATTTCAACCTATGGTCTGTAATGAATGATGTGAAATAACTGACATTTAAGTCAAGGGTCCAACTAGTTATTTGTTTCATAGAATTGCAAGGTTCATTTATCTTGCTCTTTTTTTAAGAGCAATCAAGTTGTGGTGATACGATTTGTTTGGAATCCACAGCAAGAAAATTATTATCCGGAAGTCAAGATAATAACAATTTCACTCAGAATTTTAGCGAATGTCTATTTTGAGTGTACGGTTCAATAACTAAAACAAACGTAGAAGCAGTTTCAATTACATTTAGCGTTTGTTGTCAATAATGTACACTGAACTAATTTGTGAAGTTTATTAAAATTGCAAACAAACTGCTTATTGAAGTCCTATCAGTAAACATTACGAGTTACTTGACATTTATTTGCCCGAGAATGCTAAGGAGGCAGCTTCTTTTTTGAAGAAAGGCTGTCAAGAGTCGTCAAGGTCGGGAAATAACTTACATCTCCTCGACGTTTAGCGAGAAAACAGATCGATTGAAATACTCATCCCACAACAAGAATGTTCAACAACTCTAGTTTATTCTCTCAGCATCAAAGCAGCTTGCTCACGTCGTGCACCTCACATATTTTCAACAAAGACGGGAATGACTCCTTCCCTCGTATCGTTTTCTTTTCGACTTCTATTGCCATCGTTTTACTCCCACTTGTGACAGTGGCGGGAAATGCGTTGATTTTGGCAGCGGTATGGAGGAATAATTTTGTGAGGACACCTTTTCATATACTTCTGAGCGGTTTGGCTTTCACCGATTTGTGTACGGGAATCGTCGCCCAACCTTTCTATTCTGTAACGTTTTTGATGTGTTCAGTGAATTCAACAGTGGTGTACGACTCGCCAAGACTCCTTACAGCCTTACGTACAATTGGCGAGGGAAGTGGGATGTATTTCATTGCTGTCACCGTTTTAATCCTAACAGTAATCTCCACTGAACGATGGCTGGTTATTTCTCACCGATCGCTCTTTACACAGCGCCGCGCATGTTTCACAATCATCGCACTGATGTTAGCTGCGAGTCCCACAGTTATCCTTCGTGTTCTAGAGAATGTAGACATTGGTTATGGACGCTCACTACGATTCATGCTCATTGCTAATATGCTGTCCAGTTATCTTGTTATAACAATGGCAAACTTTAAGGTTTATCGAAGTATTTGTCGCCATCAGAGGCAAATCCAAGACAACACAACAATACATCATTTTGGTAGATCGGCGATAAACGTAGCAAAATACAAGAAATCTGTAACGACGTTGGTGTACGTTGTGCTGGCTTTCTCTTTATGTTTCTTTCCATATGTTATCTCGGTTGTGATATATTTTGGTTTCGGCAACAGGACCTCAGAAACATATTCCGCCTTTAGAGTGACAGTAGTGTTCGTATATCTGTCCTCTGCAATCAACCCAGCTCTTTATTTATGGAGAATGAGTGATATTCGAAATGGAGTGATAGAATTATTTTGCAGAGTTTAACCCATTTGCATGAGAAAAGAGAAGCGAAACTCATCAGTACAAAGTAACACAAAACTAATTCATTTTTGAATGCGCAGTAATCGACGGATGGGAGATATCAGACTGTTTCAAGATTAAGTCGGGAGTAAAGCAAGGATGTGAAATGTCAGGATTCTTATTCTTACTGGCCATGGATTGGATGATGAAGAAGACAAGAGCAGACAAGAGAAGAGGGATACAGTGGAATTTAAGAACAGTGTTGGAGGATCTTGATTTTGCGGACGACATCGCACTATTTTCATACAAATTTAATGACTTGCTTGATAAGCCTGACAGAGGAAACAGCCAGAGTAGGCCTTAAACTCTATGCCGGCGAGAAAGTGCAAGACACTGAGGACTGAGTTTGCAAGGAACAGGGAGAGCATTGTGGTGAATGATGAAGAAGTGGAAGATGTCGAGGAGTTTGTGTATCTTGGAGCTATTGTAGACAAGGAAGGTGGAGGCAGTAAGGATATTAGGACCAGACTGCAGAAGGCACGAGGTGCATTCCAGAGGCTATGGAAGGTGCGGACAGCCAGATAAATAGGAAGGAGAACCAAGATACCAAGATCAAGACCATAGTCAGACCGGTCCTACTATATGGTTGTGAAACATGGAAGATCACAAAGAACGATGAAAGAAAACTGAACAGTTTCCAATACCAATGCCTAAGACGGATTCTGAGGATTAGTTGGCAGCAAAGAATGACAAACAAGAGAGTAGCTGAAACAGCAGAGATCAATGAAATTAGCTGCGAGGTGCGAAGAAGAAGGCGGAAAGGTTAGGACAAGTACTCAGGAGAGAGGATGTGAACGACTGTTTTAGGGTATTGGGGTGGACACCAGAGAGTCGAAGGACGAGAGGGGGACCAAAGACCACTTGGGGAAGGACTGTCGAAAGAGAAAGAGGTTAGGTAGGGTAGAAGAGTTGGAATGTGGGCAGGGCGGCGGCACGCGACGGGGAGGGGGGGGGGTTGGGCGGACAATGTAACGGCCTTATGCGCATCCTGGCGCAACGAGCGATGATGATGATGATGATGATGATTTACAGTTGATGGTCAACGTAGTTCCGGTAATAAGGATCGATTTTCTCTGTTTTCTTAGCCGTCTGCCGTCTCACCAAAAAAACAGAAACAGATCGGTGTCAGAAACAACAATTCGTTTCATTTAACAACTAAAGTTCACTGGCTCTGAGCAGGACCTATGAAACACTGAAGGACAATGATCCACAAAAGACACAAAAGGTTAGCTTATAAAGTCATCTTGATGGAATGAAAGTATGTTGTGGATTACGAACCTGTTAATGGGAAAGTTGATTTCCTCTGAATTCAGGAATGGCTCCATTGAAAATATTTCTTAGCCCTTGATGTTAATTTCCACTGTAAACAAAGCATGTACAAAGATTGATAGAGCAACTAACATTAATCAAAAACCGCGCAACAGTATCAAAAAATCTGAAGCCGCAAAAAAGCAGAATGGGTCTGCGTAAATGAAAGAGCAGCCAAGCGACCTTATGAGGCAGCCAGCATTGTGTAAAAGCCAACGCAATAGTAAGGCCCAGCTTGAGCGAATTTTGTTTCTTTTTCAACCGTTGTTTTTCGGTTTTTCATATTTTGCTTGATAAGTATAAATGTTAAAAGTCTTTCGTGTCACTTTTTGTATTTCACGGTGGCATAAGAGTCTCGGTGGGTTGAAAGCTTTTACGGCTAACGTTTATATGTTAACCAAATGACACACTGAAGAAAGGAAAAAAATGTACGGTTTACTCTTTTTACGACTAATGGTTAGAATTTGTCAATTTTTACGCCTAACGGCTAAATTGTACGGCCGTTTTACAGCTAAAAGATAACCCCCTTGAGATCCTCTTGGAATTGTGGTTGTGTCTACGATGAACGTGAGAGTAGATACCTCAAATATAAATATCTCATTATAAAATAATAGTTTTAAAGCTATTTTCTATAATCAGCAATTACAATTAATGATTGAAGTAAACTGTTAAATGACATGTCCCATTGTCATCTTGTACGCATCTAATCAGGTGCTTATCAGTAGAACGGATAAAGAGTTACACCACAGAAACAGGTAAATAAAAGATTTGCTCACAATGCAATAAAATGTCTTTGTTCTGGCGTATTCCAGTCTCGTGGTAATGTACAGGAAGTTGTTAAACATTTTTCCTTCATTTGCTTGGCTCAAAATCTGCAGCGGGCACAAAAGTAAACTAAAGCATCAAATAAACTACAAAGAATCAAAAAGGACTCAAAAATTCGTCACATCTTAAGATATACTTAAAGTTTTAGTATTTCTCCAATTCGCAATCTTTCATGTTCAATCTAACTTTGACAAATTTGAATACTTCATTTGTTTCTTTTTCTGTGCCTAAATTAATGTTAAGACTTGGGCTGTGTTCTTTTGCAAGGTCCCTTGAAAAGACTCAGATATAAATGATTTTCATGCTAAGACTAAAACAGCATTTTTAACTTTGTTTTCCCATACTGCTTTTATTTCTTAGAATCGAACAAAGGCTGGGCTCTTATTCAAGAACGTCAATGAAGTGTTCTTTAAAAGTGAATTTGCACGTAACAATTCCTTTGTTTATTTTTGTTACATTGTGTATAACTGACTTACGTTATCCAATGCAACCTCCAATACTGTTCCATGTCTTGAAATATTATTCTGTTATGATAAATTTTCCACTTTAATCTAAATTAACAAAACATATATAACAAATATAGTTTGTGCTCTTATGCTTTACCATACGACTGGCTACAGCTGAGAAACACTTCAAATCAGGGGAAAAGAACTTTTCAGTCATATTATATAAAATATGGGATTAAATGGGATTTAACTGTGAAGAAATTTTAGTTAAAGTTTCAGAAAAAACCCAAATTTGCTAATAGCATAAAATAACCAAGGGTCGTTGAGAGTCAAGGGAATGAGTTATGTTTTCCTGCATGAAAGGTAAAGGAAAGTTCAAGAACGGTTAATCACTTAACCATTTGACTCCCATGAGTGGCCAATATCATTTGCAGGTCGATATCACTTTTGACTATATGTTTTGATTTGAACAACGACTTCATCATTGAGTTTGTTGACAAGCATAATAGCGTAAGTGTATCGAGATTCATCTCAGCTCTTCAGATGTCTGTTTTCAACCTAAAAGTCATAAAAATAACCAATAAAAAAGATAAAGTGTTTTTTTTTAAAACAAAACACCACCTTTTGGACTTTTTCTGGCCCAAATTTTTTATTTTTCCACAGTCTGGCGTTTTTGATAAAGTCAAATGCCCTGATAGGAGAAAGAGCCGTTGACTATTTTTCCGAAGAAACCGACAGTTGTTTGGCTGCGTCGGTAAATTTTGGTGAAGGTAAATATTCATAAATTCAGTCTTTCATACTCTTTAATGGTCTTGATAAATAATGCATTTCATTAGTTTCTTGAGATTTAAAAAATCCCAGACCCTTGGATTGCGTGACCCGAAGCTCTATCACGGAGCTGAAAACAGCTCTATCTCATGATAAGCCATTTAGTGGCGGGTTCATATAACACACACGTCCTACACACCACAAGGCGTCGTATGAATATGTAGAAAAAGAATTGTAATGAATTAAAAATAAGGTAATAATAATTATAACAGTAGTAGTAAAGATTACGTAATCAACGTGGTTTCCCCGTTTGATACAAAAGAAGTGAAAAAGATCAAGAGAAGATGGAACATCACAAAACTCCAAGGGACCACATCATTATTTATCACCTGAGGGGGGGAGGGAGGATCATGTAAATTACAACTGCAGAGGAGGGGATTCATTAGAATACTGAGGGGGGGAAATCAGGAAAATTTTAATGTGTCACATGTACAATCAAGATCGCCTGCTGAAAAATTTGATAATTTATTTCATTTTGCCAAGGAACCGTTCTGATGAACTATTTTCCGAAATTACACAAAAAATCATATTGCTTTGCTTTCTTCGAAAATCTAAAGTTCACACTGATACAGCTAGACTGCCGTCCCCCTTCCATCTCTCTCGTGTTATGACGAGCATTGCGAGCCCTTGAATTAATTGTACTATGTATCTTTTTGACCTTTTTATAACAAAGGTCAACTTTAAAGGCATATGAAAAGCTATGCCTTTAAAGTTGACCTATGTTATAAAAAAGCACTCGACGAATGCAGATACAGGTACACTCTACACTACGAACCACCTACGACTAACAAACGAAAAAACAGCCAACGGAACAACATACTCTGGTACAACCCCCATTCATCACTGCCGACAGAAGAACACATGTCCACTTAACGGAAACTGCCTCCAATCATCTCTAATCTACCACGCCACCGTCACATGTAAGGAAAACAACACCACTGAAACATACATCGGACTTACAGAAAACGACTTCAAGACTAGATACAGAAACCACACCGCATCATTCCGACACACAAAACACAGAAACTCTACCGAACTGAGCAAACATACCTTAAAAGAAAATAACATAAACCACTTTATTTCATTGCGCATCCTTTCATCAAGATCACCCTACAACAGCACAAACAAAAGATGCAACCTCTGCCTCAAAGAAAAATTACTCATCATCCGTAGACCACAGAATTATCATCACCCAATAAACGTAAAGAAATCGTGTCCTCGTGCTGCCACAGAAACAAAGCGTTACTGCGTAACAATTGAACTAAGCATCGAAATTAACCGACACGCCCATTATGCAAATTTTAAAGTATATAAACGATGGTACAAATATTCTTAACAGTAAAATCCCCTGATGAGTGAGAAATCACGAAACAGGCTTGTAGGGATAAAAATATAGTCTCTCTGTATTTTCCCCATCGCAACATATATCGCACTCACTCCTACGTATCGAGCGCTGTAAAACGGGAAAAATAATACACAGACTTCCTATATATATATTTATGTACACATCAAATTTATATAACATCTTGTAGCTTTATCATCGCACTTTATCTCCTC